CTGCCCTACACCGTGTTTCTGTAGCATTCCTCTGCAACTTTTAATCTTAATTATCTGTTCTGCTTAAAGGGCTACTTTGTTTGACTTGTGAATAAAATGTTTAAAAAAAAAAAAAAAAAAAAAAAACCACAACTGATAGTTTCAACTGGAGGCATTAATTGTTGATACAGAAGATCACATTGCATAAGGATGTAAAGTTATATCTTTCACCCTTTTTATTGGTAATATTCAGTAACAGTAACACGATAAGTACCTGCCCAGCATTGAAAGCTGCCTCCATTAGAAGATGATCAGCTTCTTCTTGAACCGCTAGGGAGATGGTGCCAGACGAATCTGGCCACAAGCGCTTATGCAGAGTTTTAGCTATGGTGTAATCCCCTATAACAGCAAAAGCACGCATCAAGGAAAGATAAAGGTGTGGCTTTGGCCGCAGGCATGCATTTGCCCCTGCCCGCTTCATCATTTCTCCAAATATACAGAGAGCACCTAGAATATCAAGACAAAGTGAATAAGCAACCATTAGCTTATTATTTGATGAATTAGCTAAAACAGTAGAAAGAGTTTAAAGTTAAATACGAAGCCTTCAAACGGCACACTGGGCTCAGTAGGCATAAGTTAACAACATGAACAGAAAATCCTAGTGTTTGTGCTTTGTCCGCATGGGTATCAGATGCCAAACTAGAAGCTTTACTCAAAAATCATGAATTTGGTTCACATGCTTTTCCTGCAATTTCTTAGGGATTAATTGAGCCTGGAAGGCTGGAAAGTTTACTCACATCACATCATCATGCAAGCAAACATACAAGATATCATGTTGGAAACTCTTCTACCTTATTCAGGTAGGAAACTGATATTTTTATAATTTCCTTGCAAATAAAATCAGCATTTTAAAGAACTGAAAGATATAACATAAAAAATTCAAATGCAATCCATTACCTAAGCTTCATATTGTCATGTTTAAATAATATAAAAAAGAGCATACCTTTAATTGAACCACAATTAAGCAATACATCAACCATTGTTGTAAAGGCAGTTCGATCTATGAACAAATCTTGTGATTTCATCTCCAACACAATCTTCTGAACAGAATGTAGATCTTTGGCCTCACCAAAACCCTAGAAAGGGGAAAATGACTCCAAAAAGTTATATGCATGAGACATAATGACATATACAGGATTACAATTTCATTTAGAAGTGAAAGCCACAGAGCACACTTACGAGTACAACAAAGTTTTACTGGAAAAGATACCAACTAAATGCATCCCTGCTTAAGGAAGCATTTTCACCACACTAGTTATTTACTTTTCCAGTCAAATATTTCAGCACATTTTGACAACTAGGGCATTTTTAAATTTCACATCAGCAAACCTTTCAATAATTTAATCATTCAAGTGGATTATGGCAAGAAAACTCACCTTCAATAATGTAGTGTACGTAATGACATCTGGATAAAGTTGATCATCACAAAAGTTTTGTGCTCTATCCTGAAAATTATTGCAGGTATAAAAGATTAAAGTTCAATTGGGAAATTCTCTTTGTTGCTTTTATAAGTACTTGAGAGGCTCTAAACTGGCCTTTGCAATTCATGCTTGTGACCTTCATTTCTTCAAAAAATTGCATAGCAGCATCCAAGTTTTCTGTCTTGATGCATGCAAAAATTAGAGTATTGTAGGTGAGTCTATCAGGCTCCAATCCTAGCTGTATTATCTCATCATACATGTTTACTGCAGCTTGAGGACAGCCTCCACTTATGTATCCCTGAAATTAAATTGAGAAACAAACAAGATTGGATATTGACCACCTTAACTTTTTTTCCTTCTATAACAGAACTATGGGCCAGAAAAGAACCTTCATTAGTAAATTGTACGCTGATACTGATGGATTTCCACCCTCACGAAGCAGAAAGCCATAGCGTGCAAGAAGACCATTAGCACGGCGCAGATCTCCTGTACTAAAGCAGAGCATGTACAGCATTACCAATAAGTATAAACTTGAAATTAAAAAAAAAAAAATTCATAAATCTATAAAATGAAAAGCTAGCATCTAAAAGGATACATCTTGCATAAAAGCAGTCAACCACATACTAAGCAGAAGTTCTATTTGACTTTAACACTGACCTGCTTCAATTAGAGCATTCAGCAGACCATAAATTATTGGTGCTGATAACTTTGGTCTCCCTGGAGCTGTACCATGTTCAACAGACTCAAGTATTTGGAATGCTTCATCAATTTTTCGAGCCTCGCCCAAACCCTTTACAATCCAGCAATTCACAATTCAATAATTTGGTAAAGCAAACAAAATTATGAGAGTAACTAAACTCAAACTGTTTTCATTCAATGAAACAAAAGAAGATTATTTAGAAAAGAGTACCTTCAACAGTGTACCGTAGGTGACACCATCAACACCACAGCCGTCAGGTTTGGCCATCTCGTCGAAGATCTTTAGAGCCAAATCAACATTGCCGCAATGAACGCAAGCCTCCAACACAGCATTCATGACGATCGTGTTCAGCTCCCCATATTGTCGCTTGGCAAGTTCGATTTCCTCAAATATCTGCGAGCAAGGGCCGGAAAGCAAGTGAGGCATGAAAACAGAAATCAAACGGACAAAAAGAAAATCGGAAGGGGACAGCGACCTGATGAAGTTGTTTCCTGCGAGTGAGTTGGACGACGCGGGAAGTAAGTCGTCTGAGATTGGGAGGGCGGTGGTGGTGCAGACGACGGTGGATTGGAGCAGGGGAAGAAGAGAATGTAATGGAGTGTGGTAATGGGTTTGACGCTAGAGAAGAGAAAGCGTGAATCTGAGGCATTGGTGGCGGTGGTGCTACCCATCAGCCATACGAATTTCCGGATGAGAATGGTGAAAATGATGATTGATTCTAAAGGATAATGTTAGGGCCGAAAGTAGGGAGTTTGGATTTGGAGTAAAATAACTGGTGGGGACTGGAGGAGCTAATGGTGTCCAAAGGCACGGGCTTCATCAGGCATAATTTTGTCATGTACACTAGAGGATGGTTTTTATTTATTTATTTAAATTAAAAGTACATTAATAGTATTAATACCTAAACTAAAGAGAAGACAAAATGTCGAGCCAAGGCACTTGCCGCCTTAGCTGCGACGGGAAGTGCATATTCTCTTTTAGTTTTTTTATCGAAGTTCAAGTTATTAGTACAGTAATATTATAATTATTTTTTTATTTTTTAATTTTTCATTGGTCAAAAAAGAAAAAAGAAAAAAGAAAAAAGAAAGAAGAAAGAAGAAAGAAGGAGGTGGAGCCAAGGACTCAATTTGAAAATCACCAAGGATGCTCTTACTTGCTTCTCAAGCGTCACCACAGCCATCACATGTGTAAAATGATAGATGATGCTTTTTTATTTGTGGCCTAACTATACTTTTTGGTTTTGTTTTTTTTTTTTTTTTGTCTGTTTTTGTTTTTTGTTTTATTTAGAATTGTATAATAAGAGTTATTTCTCTCCAATATTACATAAATATAATTTCTCTTATTTTAAATGAGATTATTACTTAATGTTGTTGGCCTAACTACACTTAAAAACATTAGTTTGAGATAAAAAAAATGAATATAAAACTATTTTGTAATTTGAATTATATTTTACTTTATTGTTCAGATTATATAACTAAAACTATTGGGTAATGGATGCAAACAATTTGGATTTCTTATTATTAAAAATATTTATATGTTATAAGATAAGTGGTACATAATGTAAATATCATCAAATATGTCAAAAAATAATTAGAAAACTAATATGTAAGTGCCAATTGAGAATACTTTCTACTTAAAAAACTTGTTTAAATTGAGGGAAAGGAAATTATTTTAACTAATCAAATTAATTCATTTGGCCAATAACTTAATTTGATTAGTTTAAATCACCTCCCTCCCCTTCCCTCCCCTTCTTGTACCCTCAAACCAACTAGTAAGGATAATTAAGAAAAATCACAAAATAAGATATAATTGAATCATCGACATGATTCTAATTGGGCTTACTTGTTAAACAAAACAACTTACATGAAACTTCAATTAGTAATAGTAATTAATTGTGTTGATTATATATATATTTATTTATTTTCTAAAAAAAGCTGCCCCAATCAAAAGTGTAGGAACAAGAAGCCAAAGAAAAAAAGAAAGAAATTAAAGGGAGTAGTCTTCTTTTCTTTTCTTTTCCCTTTTTTTTTTTT